TACGCGGTCAATGATTTTCATCACCTGAGGAGGCTGTTGGATAGTATGAAAAATATGTTTCAGAGATTGTCACGGAGGAGTAGCAAAATGTTTCAAAATTGGTTCATTCGTATGAAAAAGTGCATTAACGCTAACGGACAATATTTTGAGAAACAATAAATTCATTTCTGACCATTTATGGTATTTTTTTCTTATTCATTCCGGAAACTTATAGTGCGCCTCACGTACAAAGATACGACGCAATCACATAGAAAAATTCGTGAGGTCCGCTGGTTCGTTCCGTGGTTTAGTTGGTATAGCGTCTGGCATGATATGCTATAGAAGACGTTAGTTCGAATCCGACCGGATCGAAGGATTCTTTTCTGAATGTTCGATCTTTTTATTAATAATTATAACAAACTAGTGGAGTAATTTCACGTAAAAACAAATTTAATATCAATCCTATAAAAATTTAATAACAATTTCTTCGAAAGAAACTCCTATACACTATAATGTACAATTCAGTATAGACCACATCACTCTTAATAAAAATTATGTATTAATGCAATTAATTAAGGCAACGAACACGATGGGCGAGTGTTACTTCAAAATGCAAATTAGCAATTTACTCACGATCCCGATTATAAGTATCATTGAATTTTTAATTTCATTACTTTTTTAGATCAAACAAGAACACGATCGAGCAGTAAATACATTGTTATTGTTTCAAAACTGCTCACAAACACCGAAAAATTAAGACATACACACACAACATGACCTTTTGCCTTTCAATTCAATTCAATTCATTTATTCATTCGTTATTACAGGTACATGATATAGATGGTAATACTAATTTTATGGAATCTCTGCAATAAGCGAAAGTGGCATACGAAGTAAATTAAATAAAAATGTAATGTCAAAATAAAAATAAAAGAAAAATGGATACAATGTCAAAAAACTAATAATAATTAAAAAGTCTAAAAATATTAATAACTAAATGGTACCCAACTGTCAGCATTTACCTATTCTAAGAAACTGTCATTAAAATATTCTTCTATGCTATAGTAACACTTGTCAATTAACAATTGTTTTAATACATGCTTGAATTGCATTCCACTAAGATTTTTTATTGCGTCTGGAATTTTATTAAATATTTTGGGTGCCATGTCAACAACGCTATTTTTGTATAGGGCCGTTTTACATATATTTCTTCGGACCATATATTTCCTGGTACGAAATAAGTGCGCTTGTGAACTTACTTTTTCTGGAAATTCACTCAAGTTCGTCTTGACAAAAATAGACGCCTCTAAGATGTACAGACATGGGATGGGATGGGATTCACTTGCTACGATCCTGACATACATCTTTTTCTTTATTTCATTTTAAAATCGGGACTTAGAGTCTATGCACACGGTGTGTCGCGCGTATATATCGCGCATTTTGATAAGAGATAGTTTTAATTTAGTTTCACGAGCGCGCTTTGAACGCGCGTTTACGGCACCGAAGATGTTCAAAAAGCAGATTGTTCAAACGTGCGTTCGAAACGCGTTTGCTTCGAATCAAACATCGCGTTGCAAGACTGAGGAAAGGGACTGGGGAGGGGCAACAACTACATTTTTTTTCTTAAACACTAATAAAGGTAGCGTAAGCAGTGTTGTCTCGACAGCCGCAATTGTGTTACCATACGAATACGCGCGTACGAATTTGTGAACGTGTGTATAGGTTTACTGGCTATGACTGAATCTCGTTTGTCAGCGCGTTAAAGCGTTTCAAACGTCTGCGCGTATAAAATACGCCGTGTGCATATAGGCCCTTCATTTCAGTTTGTTTTTGAAATGAAGCAAGTACTTACATAAAAATGTAAGTGTAAACTCCAGTGAAGTATATGTTATATATGCTTCTTGCTTGCAACGCGATGTCTTCGCGCGTTAAATCGATTCACTAAAGCGCCTCTGCGGCGCGTATACTTGTGTGTAGATCTGGTGACAAACCCTGGGGCACAAATAAATAATGAAGACCAAAAGCGGGTACTTAGAAAAAAACTGGCACAGCTAGAAGATGTTGATATCCGCCTCTTAAAACTGCCAATATCTGCCTCTTCAGTCCCTTCGAGACCGTCGACGTTGTTACGCGTCCGAAACGTCGAGGTAAATAAAAAATATACTTTATGCACGATTAAATTTAAATTTTTAATTCAAATAATGTGTGTAAATCATTAAAGTTTAAATCAATCTTTCGCTTTATTAACTGCATGAATGCATTCCTACACGTTCGCCGGTTAAAGGTACTGTTGACGTGGTATTTTTCTTTACGACGTATAAAATTTGGTCGTGGTAATTTCGCCTTGGTCTCGGACACAGTCATATATCTGCAAGTACAGCAATGTGTATGAAAACCAAGCGTGCTACATTTTTTGTGGCTTGAAACCATTCAATTAAACGATTCTAAATATAATAATTTTTGTTCAAGTATTTGTTGATTACAAGTATTTAGTCGCAATATTAATAAGAGTAGAAAAATACTAGAATAAGATAGTTTAGTTCTTTATTTTACTTATTTTAAAAAAATATTGATTACTTAAAAAAAATTAAGCCTTTAATTTTTAAACGACTTCAAATATTAAAATTATTGTCCTTCCAATAAAATGAGCTTGTTATATAACATCCTTATGTAATAGAAAATCTTATCGATTAACTTAAATAATGAAAACGCACCTCAATATATGAACTTGCGACTGCCTTAATTAATTTTACTAGATGGTTTTCTGTTGGTAATTAATCAAATTGATGAATGACAAGACAAATGAAAATGTTACTGCTGACAAAATATGGTAAAATCTTATTAATCAGAAGAAGTTTACTTAATGACGGCCTCGTGTGAAATTTTTGTGATTTGTTTATTATTTCTCGGATTTCTAATTCTTGCTACTCTGCATATTTGGATAGCATCTTAGGTGGGATAAACTAGACCACCTTCGTCTTCGAAAGCAACGAACTCATACGTATGACCAACTCCAGGTTTTTGTAAAGACAGCGCACTGTTAATTCTTTGCTCTATATATATTTTTTGTATTACCGTACTAGATATCCAGCTATGTTATGTAATTATTTGCTCACTATATTCGGACATTCGAGGCCACGTGCTGCAAAAATTATCGAAATTACAGATGCTACTGATAATAGATACTACAGAACTGAAAAAAAAACGAAACGTTACTAAACGACATAAAATATTTTTATAATATTATAGGTCATAATAATTTTCGTCCCTTTGTTTTCAAAATCGATCAGAATCGAGAACAGTGTTGCATAACGTATATATCACAAAATTTTAAATTTGGCCAAAAAATACACAAGCAGCCGTACCACGAAATTGAATGCATTATACAAAAGTGCGTTCGTTCGATATTCATGGCGTATTAACAAAGGATCACAAATATATCGCACCGCGTACACTCGGTTGCATATTTGATTTCTCGAAACTCTTACAAAACCAAAATAATTGTTTTTAAAATAAATTATGCATCTTCTCATTACAAAATCTTTTACCCACAGTTATGGCACTTTTGCAGTTTATAATGGCACAATTAGGCATTTTTTCGCGTTTTCGACTGGTGTTTATCTACGATAACGGTCGAGCGCGTTTTTTAGGCATGCGAAGTACGTACACTTGCGGCGTCTATCTAGATAAATGTCTGTGGTCTCGGAGCTTACCAACTAGCTCGCTCACCTCACCTTGTAAATCTGGGGGTCTACTCCCGTCTTTCCGTCTGACATCCGTCCGAAACATTTAATGTTAAATAAGTAAGTAATACACGACAAAATCAAAAGTTAATGTTAAGTGTGATCTTCATTCGCATCATGCGTCTTTGAATTTGGGAGTATAAACAGGGGGTCCGTTTCGGTAATCTTGGTTCATTGGAACTCGCAATTCAGAAATGCTCGTTTCATCGACGTAGTAGAATCTGTAGTAGGTTCACGTAAGTTCAAGCTATCAAAATATCATTGAAGTTACGTAGTTCGAGCGAAGTCCTGTTCAAAATGGGTATACACGTATCACTTGAACGAACGTGAATGAACGACATCTTGGATGGTGACATTTGACAATTAGTCGTCGAAAGTCTAAAAGAACTGTTAAAATTTTAGCAGAATATGTATGACTTGTCGTTTAGAGTCGATTTAATTTCGATTCATATACCGTAATACGCTTTAACGACATTTGGATCAAACGGTTGACGTTCATTGTTACACGTGAATACGAAAAAGCAGTTCAACTACGGTTACGGTTTGATTACGTGAATAACCCCCTGTACATGATACCAAGTAACTGTCGATTACAATAGTTGAACTTACTTTAATGTAAATTAAGACTAATGTCTTTAGAAATTAAATATTTTATTGAATGTAGGATGTTTCACCAGCGTGATGTTCAATTACTGTTTGTGAAATTAATCTACTAATTTTGTTTCGTTCGAATTCTTCTGAGTGTTCGATCTTTGTATTAATAATTATGACGAACAATCGTGCTCTATGCGGTAAAGGGATATAGACAAGTTGTCTAGTCTCATGTGCCTGCAGCAGTAGTACCCTTGCCCTTCAAACCGGAGGTAGTCATAGTTTAGCGTTTACTGTTAACTTAATAATTTCTTGGAACATTTTCCGTACGTTATGAAGTCTGATCTGCCCCTCTCGGTGGAGGGGTGGTGTTGTAGTAAACGTATATTCGAACACAGCGCCTTGGAATTTTAAAATTATTACGGTTTACACTTTTAAATCTCCCGTCGTGTGTCGCGACTAAATCATCCTGAAAGTATTGTGTGGAACAGCTAGATATAGTAATTGCACGTATAATAAATATAATGAATCAAGCTTATGGAGGAGTAAACGAAAGTGACATATTATATGTGTTTCTACTGTTTATTCCAACTACATACCTCGTATTCATCTGTTATTAATTTCTACTATTAAATTTAACACAGGTATTGTAACAATGTTTTTATATTAAGTTCTATTTGTCCACAGACGTAACTGGCGTAAAATAGTCTTCCAAACGGTATCAAGACTGAACCTGTGATAGAACCGGCACCACCTTAGCTACTCCAAACCCGCTGATTTTAGAATAGGATTCTGAACAAGACAATAATCCCGACCCTCTTTATGGAGCAATCTTATTGTTGTGGAAGGACTTCTTTGTAAAGTAAGTATTTATTTTGTGAAGTTTTTGTATACAATCGAAATTTTAGGAGTTTTTTTAATTGTTCACTTTCATAGGCGCAATTCAGACGTGAAGGTTCCCACAGCTTTTCACCGCTGTTGAACAATTATTGTACCCTTTTCACATTTTTATAATTATATATTCAACCTATTTCTTGATTTAAAAACTACGTAAATTGAGCTGCTGAGAGCAAAAACGGTGTAACCATATTTGACGCGAATTGAGGCTTACACCAACCTGTCTCTCAGCGCCTCAATTAAATCTATGTCCATTCCTTTTTTCTGTGGGACAGGTGTTGTGATATTTTAGTATGGACATGGTTACACACAGGTGAATTTAACCTCGTCTTCGATTTTTTCAGGCGGGGTGGTCCATGCCCCACGCGGCGCCCGCTAGCGCCATGTCGGCCGCCCACCCTCCGCGCCACCCTCACTTCTACACCGTCGAGGTCGGCGACACACGGTTCACCATTCTCAAACGCTACCAGAATCTGAAACCCATTGGCTCCGGCGCCCAGGGAATCGTTTGGTAAGTAACCCATTTCTGATGAAACGCTTGTTCCATGGTATCATATTACGCAAAATAAAACGCAACACTGTTTAACTTCACCTTGCGACGTCATCTGCAGTCCTATAATATCAAGCTTTGCTAGACTATTATTTGGCAGGCATTCTCCTTCTGATAACAAAGTAGCTTATCTCACTACACTACAACTTCTGTAGATATAAACTCCATGCATGTTCTCTTCGAGCTACCACTTCTACTTTACTGCACTATATAAACCATTATCAACACCTGGTGAATACGAAAACATTCTCCAGCACTTAAGAAACAGTGACATTACAACTTCTCTAAAGTTATTAACACAGCAATCACATAACTTGCTCATTTGTCAACTTGTAACATTGTGTCACGTAACTACCACACCTCCACCATCCAGTTGCCGATTGGACCACATCATCAATATACTTAATCTGTTTCTCTTTTAGTTGATCGAGAGTTAGTTAGCTGGGTAGTGACTAGAGATGGTTCAATTTTACTCTGTGTCTTTTGGCGACACGGTGTTCACTGTGCCGATCCGGTATACTGAGCTCGGGGTCCGCGGTGCAGGCGCACAGGGCATGGTGTGGTAAGGACGCCATTTTAAAATTAACCGCCATTTTGGGCGGCTTTCAATGTTTTGACTCATCCGCTTTGGTTTTCAACTAATCCGTCTTAAGCGTTCATTATAACTGATTGTTTTAATCAAAGCTATGCTCCTTATTTCAACATTGGCCGAATCTTAAATTCAAATTTTATTTACGTCTTTCGCAAAACGCAAGTTTCCATCCATACTTCTTCAAAGATTTTCTGGTGAACTTCGTTTATTTGTACTTTCTGTGGCAGAACATTTCCTTTTGAAAGTGGTTTCCTGACACTCATCTTCACATGGGCATTGCTTTTTCCGGTATGTTATTGCAAGGCATGAGTCAAAACCTTTGTGTCAGTCTTATGGTCTTAACAATTTAACTCTGGTCAATTAGGTGCTGGTTTTCGCGCTAGTCACTAAATATGTATCTTGTTATTGTTCTAACATTAACTGTATTAATCTTGGTCTAACAATTGAGTTCTCATCAAACGTTCTTCGCTGAACTACAGCATGACAAGGTCTTTTCGTATCATTATTAACAAAAACCTGCCTTGTATATTAACCTTCAGTAACGTGGTTCCGTTTGTTATAAAAATTACACATATACAACATAGCTAATATCTGTCACATTTTGTCCTCAGCGCTGCATACGACACAGTGACACAACAAAATGTCGCGATCAAGAAGCTGTCGCGGCCGTTCCAGAATGTGACACACGCAAAGCGCGCCTATCGCGAGTTCAAATTGATGAAACTCGTGAATCATAAAAACGTAAGCATCACTTTACACTTAATTCTGATACAAAGACTCTCTAATACATGTAACATTTACTATCATAACTCAGATACAGCGTTTGTACATTAATAATTTGCAATGTAAAGATATTTATTATAGTATCATTTAGAGCACCAACGTCAAGTATATCGTTTTCCTAATTTCCATTATTAACTATAATATTTGATAAAGACTTTAACGGTCAATTAAGTACTATTACTTGTGATGTTGTAAAATGTCAATGGTAGATAATTGAGGTAATGAATTTCACCTTTTTTAATCTTCACCTATCCCTTTTTCCAGATAATCGGTCTCCTAAACGCGTTCACGCCTCAAAGGAGCCTCGAAGAATTCCAAGATGTTTACCTAGTGATGGAACTGATGGACGCGAATCTTTGTCAGGTCATTCAGATGGACCTCGACCATGAGCGAATGAGCTATCTGCTCTACCAGATGCTGTGTGGTATCAAGCACTTGCATCTTGCGGGAATTATACACCGGGTTAGTATCTTAGTACCTGGTAAAGTACTTGACTGATTTCGGTAGAACACTCCGCAAATTGTGTTCAGAAATGGTTCTTTACCTGTATATAAATGTATTCCCAGGACTTGAAGCCGTCCAATATCGTGGTGAGGAGCGACTGCACGCTCAAGATCCTTGACTTTGGGCTGGCACGCACCGCCGGTACCACTTTCATGATGACGCCCTACGTCGTCACCAGATACTATCGTGCACCGGAGGTCATTTAACAATTTTTATTTACTAGACGACTCTCGTAAAACTGTTTACCTTTCTATCTTTTTTCTTCGACCCTGCAGTGCAAATCCCCTTTTTGTACACTTCTCCATTTCCTTTTCTTGTTGAGTAGCACCCTCCATATATGGACACGTGTGGGACTCCCAGATCATAATTGTCACATTCTCTTCTGCTTTGTCTGGATTATGTGTTTGATCATTTGTTTCCCGCATCCTCACTTTTTCCCGACGATGGAACGTCAGTACCAATGATAGCAATCGTTGGAATTGCAGGTGATCCTAGGCATGGGGTACACGGAGAACGTGGACATCTGGTCGGTGGGCTGTATCATGGGCGAAATCATCCGCGGCGGCGTCCTCTTCCCTGGCACCGATCACATCGATCAATGGAATAAAATAATTGGTCAGTGTCTGCCTTATTTACGTGATGCCAAATTGGAATGCAAGTTTTAGACGTGTCTCGAGAATACGAGCTTTTATTTATTTAATTGCATCATGGATAGCACAAATGTATCTCGTACAAACATTGCCTTACAATTTATTTGTAAGTCAATGCGTACAAACATAGACCCTGTTATGCTGTTGTAATCTATAAGTATACGTTGACTTCTGTAATCTTAAAAATAAAAATGGTTATAAATGCGCCTATACAATGTGTTGATTCACATTCTTAACTTATTTACAGAGGTCATTCTATATCATATCTATATAATTATATAATTCTTATTTTTTATTTAATTGCGGTAAACATCGATTCGGAACCACCTGATCCTGCTTGATCCAAAGGTCATTGACTTGCACGGCACGTGCTAAACTTATAGCCATAGCGCAGCTGGAGGAACCCAGAAAGTATTAACTAGTGCGCTCGCTTACGCATAAGGACGAGGTGGGATGATTGCCGAACTCGCTGCAAATCTCGTGATTAATTAGCTAGTCTCTCACGAAATGCCACGTGGAATACCAACAGGTATGTAAGGAAGCGTGCAAAAACGAACCGCTACCAGGTTCACTAGGACCTGTATTATTATCAAGTGCAAGTGCGTGACTATAACTTATGGCATGATGTGAAACGTTTAGTTTACGCGGAGGAGATTACAAAAGTCGTCTGCATTCAAAGTTGAGACACAGAATATAGTTTTTGATATATTTAGTCGATTTAGCACTATTTCTATTATTAATTTCTTAAATATAAGTTTATGTTTTCTGTCTTCATTACCGAACACTGATTCCACACAGTGAAGCGTCAGGTCGGTCCGGCGGAGTGCAGTAAACGCGCACGTTTGTTTCCAGAGCAACTGGGCACGCCGTCGCAGGCGTTCATGGCGCGGCTGCAGCCGACCGTGCGGAACTACGTGGAGAACCGGCCCCGCCACCCCGGGTACAGCTTCGAGCGGCTCTTCCCGGACATCCTGTTCCCCAGCGACAGCAACGAGCACAACCGGCTCAAGGTCGCCGCGCCCTCGGCCGCGACGCGCGTCGCCCGGAGCGCGCGCCTGACCGGCCGTTCGTGTCCTTCGCAGGCGTCGCAGGCGCGCGACCTGCTGTCGCGCATGCTGGTGATCGACCCCGAGCGGCGCATCTCCGTGGACGAGGCGCTGCTGCACCCCTACATCAACGTGTGGTACGACGAGGGGGAGGTGAACGCCGTGAGTGTCGCTCGCCGCCGCCGCGCCGTCGCCGGCCCGGCCCGGCCTGACCCCGTCCTCTTGCAGCCGGCGCCCGCGGCCTACGACCACTCGGTGGACGAGCGCGAGCACACGGTGGAGCAGTGGAAGCAGCTCATCTACCAGGAGGTGGTGGAGTACGCCGCGCCGCACGCGCCGCCCGCCGCGCACGCGCCGCCCGCCGACCACGCGCAGCCCGCGCTCACCACATAGGCATCTTCCGTTTCTTACGACACGTAGCGTAAGTCGATGTTTTCGTTCGGTCCCGACGCCAGAGGGCCCGGCAGTTCGCCCGCCCCGGCTGGGCACTTCGCGTTCGACCGGCTCGCGTCGAGGAGTGCCTTTTGCGGATTGCTGAAAACGGTGATCTCTCCGCTTGAGGACTGACATTGACGAGTTTCAATATTTTTCTAACGGAACACGTTTGTAATACGTGACGAGTGATTCCCTGATTATTCAATATTTTTATCAACTGTTTTTTGTTTTGATCGAATCGATAATGTAATAGAATAGAATTAAATATAAAGACTAATTAAGTAGAAAGTTGAGCTTAATCTGTGTTGTTGTATTTTTGTTTTTATTGTCCAATTGATAGTGTACGCGTACTCGTAAACCTATTATAATGCGCATATTCACTGTTGCAAGTTTCTGTTCTAACCCTGACCCGTCAACGACACTATATGGAAGTGGAACATGAAAGAGCGGTGCCGTTCGCTAACAGTTTTCCCCGCGTGCTCCGTACAAGATTTGTGATTGTTAAATTTGCAATTGTGGACCTTAAGTGCGTGGTCTTTGAATGAATCTCTCGGTAATGTTGTGTTTTTTAGCCATACAAACCAGATAGTTACTTGGGATTTTGTGATGTTCATAGTTTTTCGTAAGTAGTAAATAGGTCGTTGTTGATAATATTGTATTGACTGTATGAGAGTAGATCAGTAAGTACATTTCTACCTAAGTAGTCTCTTATAGATCACCTCACACGTTGTAGCCGACTGAAACTAAATACGTAAAAACCAACAAGTTAGTTGTTACCCTGTTCGTTTGGCTGTATCAAACGGTTGGTAAAAAGTATTTTGTAATGTTCCCAAAACTGTATTATGCAAAATGTCATAAAAATGTTGTATTAAAAAGCAATATTTTTATGTTACGCAAAGGCTTAACGTGTGAGGTCCAGTAGGATATTGTTTGAAACCTCACTAGGTGATATAATTATAAATTAAGGATAATAAAATACGTGTATCGGGTGGTTTCAGTAAATAGCACAATTTGTTAGCTGTAAACCTGGGCGGTAACAAGCGTGATGTTGTGGCAGTTGGGAGTAAAGATTAATGTTCAAATAAAGCAATAATCATTGTTAGTTTCATATCCTGATTCCGGTTCCTGGGCGGTCGGCGTAGCGCACATTTGGCCCGACACTTCGACGCTAAAACATATCACCGAAGTTTATTTGTCTACGTCTTTCTGTTCTCGTGCGAAACACCGACCGTTTTGCTGTTAAATAATGTTGCTTTACTTTTGTTCCATAATGCTGTAGGTCACACGATAATGTTTAAAAATCATAAACCCATAGTTCAAAGTCAATTGTGTCACCTAAAGGCGTAATAAAATTATAATAAAGTTTGGCTCAAAAATCAAAGTACCTAGAGTCGAAAATAAAATAAATAATTTAAAAAAAATGGGCTAAGTATGTAAATTTTCACATTGATCTATGAGGAAAGTTTTAATGAACCCTTGAAAGTATACTATAATAAATCTATTTTAGGTCTAAAAATAAGTGTACATATTTAACATTAAGATGGAACGAAAGTGAAGAGAACATAAAGCTATTTAGTCATTCTGTTTATCACTATAGATTGAATAATTAAATTCGCAACTGTACGTCCAAATTGTCCATTTATATGTTAATGTACCTAATACAAATTACAATAATGTAATCTTTAGCATGTATTTTAGTACACTTGGTAACAAGGTTTAAGGTAGTCGCAATGTTGAACGCTGGCCGCGCGGCTTCTAGCGATATACTTGAGGACTATTTAAAAACAACTTATTTTTACTGTATGCGTAAGTTATTTCATATTTTAACTGAATAAAATCGAAATGGTTATTACAATACTGTTTAATTTATACCTCCAAACTTGTAGACCTAGTAAATAGATTGAGTGCTAATAAGCAGTTTTCTTCAATGAGCTGACTCTACCCATGATACTGAATCATTATCGCTTAAAAGCTTATACCCATTTTGTAAATTTATTTTTTCCTAAAGCAAAAATACTATTTATTATAGGCAATTCATAGAGAAAGTTGAAAATACTTTTAATAAATACTTTTTTAGTACATACACGTAAATAAAACCTGGCAACTCTCAACTCGCGGTCAGTAATTCCTAGATTCGCTCTGGACCTTTTGGAGGGAAAAATGTCGTTTTTATTTTGACTTTCAATTATTTTGTGAAATCTAGTTTAAAGTGGAATAGGATAGTGCTACTGTGCCTTAATCGAAGATTAAAATGCGAAATTATACGAATGTCGAACTAAAATACCCGTATCGGCCCGTTTTAAGGAATCCCGAGTCAATCCAAGCACGCCGCCTCAAATTGCCCATCTTTGTGGCGGCCATATTTACGGAAACATATTTAAACTTCATGTTTAGGCTGATGGCTTTGCCAAAGCCTTAATAAATAAAAAAAAAAACTGAAATTCCTACCATGACTTTCTGGATATTTTTTGAACGAAATTACAATTGTCAACTAGTGAAAGTTGAATGGTGTGTAGTATTTTGCTCTATTCTATTCTCTAGTTTTAGAGCGAAATTTTAATTATTCGGAATCAATTTCCTTAGAATTTTTAATTAAAAAACAACGAGAGACAATAATTAAATCTAACAACGACTTACGCTAGTGGTTTCATCGGTAATAATAGCAAGGATGTCCGAGAAAGATAAATCGAAAGTAAACAACCAAACAAAACATCTCCCGAAAGACGCACAAGTGATAATGTCTATCATGAAGGAAGTCGGCATTTCAGACTACGAACCTCGAGTCGTAAACCAACTCCTAGAGTTCACATATCGCTACGTTGCGTCCGTTTTGGACGACGCACGCGTATTCGCCAATCACGCTAAGAAAAAGACTATAGATCTCGACGATGTGAGATTAGCTGTTCAGATGCAGCTAGATAAGTCTTTTACGAGTCCACCGCCGCGCGAAGTGCTGTTGCAAGTGGCAAGAGTGAAGAATGTAAACCCTCTCCCGTTGATAAAGCCCCATTGTGGATTGAGATTGCCGCCGGATCGGTAAGAATTTTTTAGGCACATTATAATTAGGCAATGCCGAACTGTTCGAATTGGTGCCACTGCACCTGCCAAAGTAGTAGAGCCTATCCCTACATCATTGATACCTAGCATTGTAAGATGATCTACTTTCTGAAATATTTCCTTCGCGCTATGGTAACGGGTCCTACAAAAAGTGTGTCGACAGGGCTCTCAAAGGCTGGCAAACCATAGGCAGCTTATCTGATGTTGAGAATGTCCATGGTCGACGATGACTACCTCCCATCAAGTAGCTTGTCTGCTCGTTTGCCTTCAACTTTGCTTTAAAAAATTTCACTAAATACCAATTAACCTGCATAAAGATCTTAAAAGCTCTATCCTCTGCTAACTCTGCGACGTGTTTTGGGAGGCCAAAGTATGCCCACAGCTTATGAAGCTTTGAGATTGCTAGTTAATTTACTGTCCAAGAATATGTGTATAATGCTGCATTGGATACCATCACACGTCGGACTAGAAGGCAATGAAATAGTACATAAATTAGCAAGAGAAGTTATCACAGAATCCATGAAACCGTCATGTAAACCTCTTGCTGCAGAAATCATCCCATTTGTAAGAGAGCTAAATATGGATGTGTGGAGTAAGATCTATAGTGAGATTTCTGGATCGAAAGGAATTTGGTACAACACTGTTCAAGTGCGTCCACAGCGAAAGTCCCGGGTTTGTGGACAGCGCACTTTTAACTATGTACTGGCCACCTTCCGCTCTTTTTATTAAATGGTAGAACTTATTTAAATAAGTTCTACCATTTAATAAAAAGAGCAGAATCTCCACTATGTAAATTCTGTAACAAACTTGAAGATATGCTACATTTAATGGAATGTGGCCATTATGTGGCTCTGAAAAGCCATTTTCAATTAGGGGATATTTGGCAGGTTGGAGAGTTAAATGTCGTGTTGGGTGAACAGTTGACAAAGAGGGCTAAAACTGGCTCAACTGTACGTTACCATCACACGAGTTGAGAGGTGAAATTAATATGGTGAATAGACTACATAGTAGTCTAATCCTAAAATATTAGCTTTAGGAAACTCGTAGTATTGACAAGAAAAATTATTGAAATATTTGAAAATAAAAGATAGGAAACAGGTTTTGTAGGTTAAGAAAGCACGGCGTTTGGTTGTAGCAGTAAAGTTTACAAAAAGTTTAGTTTAAAAAAAATTTACGAATCGCCTTTTTGTAAATTTTTTTTTACGAAAATTTTTTTTTTTGCGTTATTTATAAAATTTTCGCAATATTGAATTAAAAAGTTAAAATTAATAAGTAATTGCACATTTAAGATTGAAATTTACTATTTTTAGTATGTATGCAAAAACGTAATTTTTTGAGGTTATTTTTTTCAAATTTTCAAATTATTATTATTATTATATAGATAATGTAAAACTCTATACTCATATGTGAGGTCTTGTCTCTCACTATGAGGCGACACATGATAGTCGAATAATATAATCCACAGGGATTGACATCACAAGGCCGACATTGACACCTAAGTGTTACAGGCCTTATTAAAAATAAGATAAAAAAAGATCTTAAATTCATGCCCTTGTTAAATTTTAAATATTTGTAATATAAACTTTCTTTTTAAATTACTAAATTGCTACAAATTGTCTAGAATTTGTAGTAATAAACCTCTTTTGATTATTTTAAATATATTGTTGGTTTTACTTTATTATGCCTATAGCTGTAATGCTTTACTTTAACTAAGTAACTATTCTCATGAACGGAGTTATTCGGCCGAGTAGGTACGAGTAGTAAAAAAACGGCCGAGTACACCGAGTACCGAGTAGCAAACGAGTACTCGGCGCATCTCTAATAATAATGGTGTTGGGGGTACATACAAAACAAAAAGATAAATAAGCCTCATATTCTATTCCAGTTACTGTCTATCAGCCTGCAACTACCGTCTTAAGCCAGCCCAGAAAAAGGCAGTTGCCAAAACTACAGTCACAGCTGGCCCTCCCATCAAAGCACCTGTCGTAGGTGGTCAGCCTAATGTGGTGGTTAAGAGACCACCTACCACTCCTATCCCAACTAAACCTAGCGGTGTGCCTAAACCAGTTTTGAAATTTACTTCTGGCAGTAAGGTAAGTTTGCCTTTCCATGCTTTACAAAATCTAAACATGTGATTACTTTTCTCCCATGATATAAAATAATTACCAGATTGTGAAATCAACTATTATTGAACTGTAATGTGTCGAAGCAACGTGAAACGTAGTAGGTGACTGGATTCCATATTGAAGGAAATGTTGAGTAGGTATAAGATTATTTACATTGTAATTGAATTATTAATTCCTGTCTATTTGCACCGTGAATGAATAAACACACTATCTAAAATCGTTCCTGTTTCACTATACTTCGCTAACCAGATGACATCTCAACTACCTCACTGCACAACCAACCTAATATGAGAGAACTATGACTATACATTGTTTTACTACTCACTCTCTCTCTCTCTCTCCAGAAAAGACACAATATATGTAGTGTTATTATAGTCAGTTACATGGTAGTGTTGGTTATTTGCTCTTACAATTAATTAAAGTTTGTTATCGCAGTAAAAGGCTATGAAACTAGGAAAAGCTGTCCTGATAATAAACATTGCACCATTAGAATTATTTTAACATCCAACTTCTGCTTGGCAACTAGGCGAGTACTTTTCCAAAATGACGCAGTAAATCTATTTCCGGAAATCTAGAATTTGAAAAAGCAATTAATCCATATTTGGTGGTTTACATTTAGCTATTTATCAACTCATGCGGAACAGCTTATTCCACCCACTAGTAATCACACCAGCCTCACAACTACTCTTTCCGATAAAACAACATGTATAAAAAGATATCCTTTTTTAAAACCAACTTCGCGACTATCAATATAAATACCATGCAGAGGTCCTGGGTTGAAGAGGAAATGTTTGTATGGCCTACATTTATTTCTCTTGTGAGTTTGGGTGCACCCGCAACACAGGGTTTCCCTAGTGCGGGGCTATGAGTGTGTGCGCATTATTATTATTATTAAATCTTGTAGTGAGATATTGTTTACTAACCAAGACCTTATTTCAGGTGGTAGCAAAACCAGCAGTGCGAGTGACGGCTGGACCATCATCTCATATCAAGATGGAAGTGGATGAACCTTCGGGAGCGCAGAAGCGAAAAAGAGAAGACGATTATGATATGTAGATTAAGATTCTAATGCTACAGAATATGTATTTCATAACTCATTGTTAAGATTGTCAGGTATATTAGAAGGATTTTTTATTTAATTAGGCAATTTAAATTTTATTTTAAGTAAGATCAAATAGGCTAAAGTAGCAGTAGTAGGTCTTGAGCATTCAAAAGCGCTGATGGCTGCCTACAGTGCCAGACAATGTAGTCTTAACAGGGCATTGTGGTTTGAACAAGCACATGTCCAATATTGGGCAGATAGAATAGAGAGTGTATCTCCTCAGCCAATGCTGCCCCCTGATAGGCGTACGAAGTTCCACACTGTGACGGTGCATGCCACTACCAGAGGACATAAAAACTGTCAAGCCAGGAAAGTCCTTCAGTTCTTTAATGCTGTTGGCCTTGGCTCCGAACGGTAACAGTGGTGACCAAAATAGATCAGTTCATGGTCGCAGTGATGAGGGGAGGTGCAGAATAGGCCCCGAATGAAGCCACTCTAATAATAATAAATAGGCTGTTATTTTAGCCTATTTATTAAGCCTATACAAAAGGCTTAATATAATAAATTTTCTTAAAATAAGCAAATTTTCGAGATTCCTTAAATAATTCTTATCAAAGCCGCATAACAGAGTAAACGATTGATGAAGTTGCTGTTCTATACAGGGTAGTTTTTAAAAAGCTAAGAACTTTGCGGGACTATATTGCTAACATCATAAACAAGAACTTTTCTTCCATGACTTTTTACAAAATATAATAAATTTACCAAAAATATACTTTTAAGCTTTTGTTGACGCTTTAGATATGTATTAGGTGGAATAAGTTTAAACGCGCAAACGGCCTCCGCCACCCCCGTCCTGCACAGAGTTATTACCGTTTAAAGTGATCTATTTATAAAATGTATTTATTTTTGTATGAAAGTAAAATATGATTAATTATTAAACGTCATGGAACAAAAGCTGTTGTTTATGATGTTGGTAATAATATGGTCTTGCGAGGTTGTCAGTGTTTTAAAAATAACCCAGTATATGGTAGTTCAAACAAAAATAACTTCACAAAATAAAATAACACTAATAAAATATAATATTATTGATAGACTAGTGGGAAAATGTTCCTTGTCAATTGAGAGGCCACGGTTCAAATTTGTTTGGCGGATGGGCGGCATCTACCTTGGACTTAATTTTTTTAGTTATCTATCATGATAACCTGCATGTCGAAGAAGCCTCACAAACCTTGGAAACTATGTGAAGTCCTCAACCCACATTGGGCCAACGTGGTGCACTATGGCTTAAATCTTCTCAACGGAGCACCCTGCCCAGCAGTGGGACAGTTAATGGGTTGACATTGATGAATCAAAATATGCACCCTTGCCATTAACAGACATCTGCAATCTTACTAGAAGCTCATCTATTCTTCTGCACAAAATAGTGGGGAATTCACACTCTTGGAACTAATTTTAGACTGCTTCACACGAAAATTAAATTATCCCTCGGAAAAATCTCGTGGCTTATTCTAGCGTGACCATCGTAGAGTTTTAAAATTTGACTAGCCAGAAAAAGACGCTATTTAGTCGGTTCCAGTCGCAAAAAACTAGGTTTAGTCGCTCCGCCGTTCAAAAGTTATACGGTTGCCTTACTGCCCATGCTGGAATAAGCTTATTCCAGCTACACCATTTCTCACTCTCGAGAACCAAAACACCTAGCTTAGATCTTATTACACCAAAAAAAGTCGTGATTTAGACAGTTCTACATAGTCGCGAAATTTTAGAATGAGTCACCCCTTTGTTAAGAAGACATTGGATATTCTAAATAATATAAATCCTCACCTAAGAGGAGACCCGTGCCCAGCAGTGGGACGTATAAATGGGTTGAAGATGATAATGATGAATAAAATTTGAACTACACAATTATTGCGCCGCTGGGAAAAGGCAAAGCATTACACCAGCCAGTTAGTAAGTAGTAGCGTAAAAAAAACGATAAACAGGCAAAGATAATAAACATGTAATATCAAAATATAGATAATATCTCAAACACGTTACGTAATTCTACTTACATTTCTACGATAAAGCATGATTCTTACAAAACAAAAATGACTACCCATTTCATTTCTTCTCATACTTGTAGAAACCCTCACCGGACTTCACTCCGAGTTTCCCTTCAGATACAAGTTTGTTCAAAAGAGGAATCGGGTTGAAGAGGGGCTGGTCAGGATAGTCCTGGTGCCATCCGTCCAGGATGAATTTATTGGTGTCCAGACCCACATAATCAGCAAGTTCAAGGGGACCCATTGGGTACCCAGCACCTAATTTCATTGCAATATCGATGTCGCGAGCTGATGCATCTCCTGTAAATAAATGAGAACTGTGACAATTCATACATAGTTACTACATAACTAAAATTTAAAAAAATGTCCTCCATGACGTTATTTCTCCCTCTTTCTCTCGCACTGGGCGTTAATATTAGCTTATGTATTAATATTAATTTATATGAGAATATAAAAGTTGAGTGCACAAGAAACTATCATCATGGGTTGTAGTATATGACCGGTGTTTTCCCCGTGACGCTATAAAGCTCTTGCCCTCCTGCAAATACGAAATTCCTGGTACTCCCGTTGGCAATCTTCCCGTCAAACTGTGGGTAAATTTTATGGCAAAATCCAGCCTGATCTTACCCTCTTGGTTCTTCACTAGGAAATCGATTCCGAAAAATAGTACCGCCGCAATTATTCGTCTACGCTTTGCTCACATATATTGTGTACTCCTGTGTTCTTGGCTAAGATCCGTGTCCGAGACCAGAGACCACTCCCTGTGCGAGTGTGGTCTGGCAGAAGGTACCCTCGGAGCACCTGTTTTTTGACTGTAACCGTATCGTCACACCTCTGTATGATATCCTCCCCCCTAAAATCCCCCGTCCCGTTAATAACAACTTGCTCCTAACGTTGGTCCACTCTCCCTTTGCGTATGTCCAATGTAAATTTATTAAAAATAACACTTTGTTTCTGTAATAATAGTCTATGTAAGTTCTCTGGCGTTGTCGATTCTCCTGTGAGATTTCTGTCGAAATTCACCAGTCAAATTTTGAGTAAAAAACGCGTGTTCCTTAACTCGGCATTGGCGGAACCATCAATGGTTTCAAAAGAGCTATAAGATTATAAAGAAGAAGTAAGAAAATTTAAATACATGAGTACAAGTTGTAAAGTCACGACTGGGATAAGATAGCACAAAAGAATAAAGATTAAAAAGACTATTGGACCATAACATGACCTTTGATATCAAATTTTATCTACACTCACAAAATTTGGCTTTAGGTATTACGATCTTGGAATATAGCTCGTGTACTAAACCATTCCTTTGTAACTTTCCATGGTCGTGGTAAAATTACACCGGAACATGGGACTTGTCAACTTATGTCTCAGAGTGACAGACACAATGGCAAATGCCTAAGATCTTTGCGATTTAAAGCTCTGAGTGGCACTGCATCTGTTATTGATAGGCGTGTCGCTTACGACCAGGCGCACGACTTGTTCGTCCCGTCACTTAATATCATATTAAAAAACAAATAAATTGAAAAAATTCACCTTTACAACGAATATAAGAGCACATGAGCATTGAATTTCGTCAAAGCTTCAATTTTGTTGAGTTTTTTTCCACAAAACGTTTGTTCTCTCATGCATTTAATACCAAGGTGAGGAGCATCAAGTGCTTAATCCTAAAATTACAAGTGCTCATTACTTTTGCATAAGTAGGTAGGCCTAATACCAGAAAATGATACAAACCTCTCTCCAACAACCTAACAGCTTCAGCAATATAAGGCACCAGCAGTCTGTTGACGACGAATCCAGGAGTATCCTTGCAGGTGATGCAAGTTTTGCCGACGGACTTGCCCCACGCCATCATTGTCTGGTATGTCCCTTCTGAAGTCTCAGCGCCGCGAACAACTTCCAGAAGACGCATTACTGGTACTGGGTTGAAGAAATGGAGACCACCAATTCTAAGAAATAGATTAATAACAGGTTTTTAAAAAACGAACCGGCCTCAATCTTTTTAAAAAACTATCTCAATTTGATCGGAACGTGACCGTCCTTTTATAATACTGCCTCGTTTTCTTAAAAAGTAGAAAAAAATCTTTCGTATACTCACTTGTCCTTTCTGCTAACAACAGAGAAGATTTTGTTGATTGACAGAGAAGACGTATTTGAAGCTAAGATTGCATGAGGGGGAGCAGCCTTTAAGAAAAAAAAAGCATTATTTAAACATAAATGAAACAGAAACAAATTATTGGTTTTTGTTTACATAAATTATATTCTTAGGCTACACAAGTTTTCTTACTTTAAATATTTATAAGACAAAATTAAAGTACTAGCTGTCAAAATAATAATATTTATTGTACAGTCAACAGCACATCAAAGTATACATTTTTGTTTGAATATTGCCTCCTGTTCAACAGAACAAGATTTGTCAATGTGTAGCTTGATGTGCTGCCGTCTGTACTAAAACATACAGCAATGCTTAAATTTAAAACCACAGTGTACAGAATGTAGGAAATAATTGGTGAGACAATGCTAAAACATTAACATATTCAAGCTAGACAGATAAGAAATTTTTTGTCACAGTTAAATCTATTTTGCTTCAGTAGTTTAAGAAATATTAAATAAATTTGTTTATTATGTGGCTTAGTTCAAATAGCGTCTGGCACAGTATGCCAGAAGACGTCGATTCAAATCCGGCCGGATCAAAGGAATTTTTTCTGAGTGTTCGATCTTTGTATTAATAAATAAGTATTTCATTGCAAATGAAACTATTTACGACTACGGCTGTCATGGACCATGGGACCTGTAGTGAAATCGAAACATTGATTTGTTTGATAAAACAAACAGTATGTGCCTTAGATTCAAAAAACTAGTTTCATTTCCAATGTGTAAGAATAAACAACCTATTAAAAACTTTATAGGTATTTAATATTTGAAACTCACAGCATCCAATTTCTTGAAAAGCTCATGTTTGATACCAAGATTCTCAACTATGGCTTCTACAACTAGATCAGCAGATTTCGAAGCAGCCACTGGGTCTGTCGACGTCTTAATCTTAGCCAACGAATCTTTTACAAACTTCTCGCCTTCCGCAGGGTTATCCTTGTAGATTTTCTTGGCCACACGGCCGAGGTTCGCCGTAATGGATTTCTGGGCCTTTTCCAAGACATCGCTGCTGACGTCTACGAGGATTACGTTTTGACCGGCTTGCGCGGATACCTATAGAAATACCGATGTGTTTTAAGGGTGTAAGTACATACTTATTTCTAAATGTGCAAACAAATTAGGGTTTAGTTTACAGAGTAGGTATTAATATTGTACTGGCATGAGTAAAGTACCTGAGATTTAAAGTTACCTGAGCGATGCCAGATCCCATCAAACCGCCACCGATAATAGTTACATTCTTGATTGCATTTTGAACAGCAGATGAACTTGAAAAATTTTTCGCGATTATTCTAAATTGACTCATGTTTAACAATACACCTTCAGCGAATAGACACCAGGTACAAAAAATATTAAATATAAATTTTATGATAAAATCTATCACTAGCAATATCAAAGTTCACTGATCCACAGAACAATATTACACTGATCACTGCTTCTTTCTTGATTGATAATTGATAAGCGGTACTAGATGAAAAAAACATTTCTCACTGGCATGAATATAATTTTGTCTCATTTAGAAACAGTTTGATAGACAAGGAAAAATAATGAAAAGCAGCGAGTAAACGGTGAGTTTTGGCGATAGTAACACACTGCAACAAGTAGCGATTTGAGCGTTCAGAATATAAAGTGGAAATGTTCAGTGAAGTCTTTGGTAAAGTAATTGAAATGAAGGTTAATGTCCATTTTTCAAAAGAAATATTTATCGAAACGTTCTATTTTCTTACTTGTATTGGCTTTTCGCAGTAAGCGTTTTAGCTACGTACAGAGTGTTTTGATTGGCATGTTTTTAAAACGGGGATACTGATATAATAATATTATCATGGCATGTAATTTGGAAACGGAATTTGAAAGTTGGAGAAAAAGTGATCAGGCGAGGAATTGTGAGATGTAAATAAACAAATGAAGTTAAAAATGAGAGGGTTTTTTTTCTTCTTATTTCCCTTAGTTGTAATATTTGTTTTTTTAAATACCTAGTGGTATGTGGATTGGCAATGCATAAAGTATTAGAAAATGTTTACGTTTCATTTCATGCAAAACGTTTGATTATATAAAAAATAATCTCAAATTGAGAGATTGAGATGATGAGATGAGAGATTGATGATGTATAGGTACAGGCGCGCGATGATTTTAAATTATTTTGTATTTATAATTAATTTTTAAGAAAAACGAAGCTTTTAATTTATTTGAAAACGAATTCTGTTTGACTTTAGTTCGTCTGTCACCAACTACAATGTAATGTCTCAAACACAAGTAAAATTTTAAAGTCTGTTTTTGTTTAACGTTTCGCCCAACAGTCTATCTTAGTTTTGGCATCATGAAAGATACCCCTGGAGCAAACCAAGTCTTCAACGATATAGTTGAGAGAGAATGGCATGACTGGACTACTGTTTTTACCGACGCTTCAAAATTACACGAACATGGCGACTTGGGAGCCGCGGTTTGGTTCCCCAAGTTCAATGTCGTACTCAGTTTTAAATCCCCCTATCTGAATTCGGTCTTTTCGGGAGAGGCAATTGCAATACTCGAAGCCATTTTATATATTGAGTCCCATAAAATTAATAAATGTTTGGTTTTCTCAGACTCACTAAGTTGCCTCCAAGACATTATTAAGCTACCGTTTCATTCCAAAGACAATTTCTCCATCACCCTCCAAATTAAGGAAGCTCTGTACCGATGTCATTGTGCGGGAATTGAGGTAACTCTGGCCTGGATTCCCGGTCACACTGGGATCAGTGGCAACGAAGCAGTAGACGCCTTTGCAAAGGATGCGACAAGAATTGGCGTGTGCAAATACTGTAAGTGCTTTCCCAGAGATCTGCTCGCCATGACTAAACCCCAAATGCTAGCCTCCTGGTCGGTCCTTTGGCAGGAATCACGACAAACTGTTGGTAGACACTATGGTAATCTCCAACCAAATCTACCCACTAAACCCTGGTTTTTTAAACGTCGCGATTTGCCTAAAAACATCACTTCCACTATTATTCGTTTGCGCTTAGGCCATGTTTGCACACCTGTATTTTTGCGTAAAATCAGAGTTCGAGATCACTCTCTGTGCGAGTGCGGCCTAGAAGACGGTACCTTGGAACACATTTTTTTCAATTGTCCTAATATTGCTGTTCCACTTTATAACTTACTTTCTCCAAAATTCCCCCGCCTCGTTAACATAAACAACCTCTTAACTTTAGTGTTCTCCCCCCATATTGTTTCTCTATGTAAATTTATCCACTTAAATAACATATATTTATAAATATTGTTTTGCTGTTTTGTTTTACATTCTCAACTGAGTACTCCCGTAGTCCAACTTACCAACACCGGTTAATGTCCTATTAGAGCTTAGCGAAAATTTTTTTTTTGTTTCGTTTTTTTTTTCTTTCAACTGTGACATTGGCAAAATCATCAGTTCTCATATTGATGGAGCCATAAAAATAAAAAGTGAAGTGAAAGTCTGTTTTAGGTACCACTTTGTTTTCCACTAAATTTTTAGTTATATTCATTATAATTTACCTATAAATATCTGCTTTAAAATGTGTTGCGTAATCTTATCAGCGTGTGGCAAACATGTTTATGGCAGGTAAGTCGCGTTATCATCGAAAATAATGATGTTGAAGCTGTAAAGTGTTTAGACTTGTTGATTTATCGCGGAATTATTATCATGGCCTTCGGTCTGCATTTTGCTCCCGGGTCCAACGTTCAGACCGGCTTGTACGATTGTTATTGCAATATCTCAGCAACTCGCGGCATTCACTCGCCGGCTTGCTTTCTGCCATTGAAAACGTGCATCATGAACAAGTTAGTAGGAATTACGAGAAACTTTTCGAGCTCTGCGTCGCTAAATGCGATAAAGACTGTTACAGTTGTGGGCGGTGGACTTATGGGCTCGGGCATTGCCCAGGTAAGTCATATTGCAACTTTTTTGTTGCAAGTTGTTTGTGTTCTTGTCTATTTATAGAAGGCCAGTGAACTTGAAGTGGTCCCACCACAAGTATCGTGTGTTTACAATGCGTAAATCCATTGTATATTCATGTATACTGTATTATAATGTAGTATTTTATGGATAATGATAGTTACGAAATGTTAAATACTCTGTGTCACAGTCAGTTGAGTAAATAATTACTAACTTTTTATAAGATGTGTACTTATTTAAGGATGGTGTTGAGTTAAATTTCAAGGTCATTGGTTATATCATTACATTTTTATCTAATGGCTATTGAAATAGATTAAGATCTATTTTTTGGAAATTAATTTAAAATTGATATTTTTAATATAATAAATCATACTTTCTGTATTTAAGGTAACAGCTCAGGCAGGTCAAAATGTATATCTCATAGATACACAGAAAGAACAGCTGGAGAAAGCTCAGAAATCCATCAAGAACAATCTTGTCCGAGTTGCAAAGAAGACTTTCAAAGATGATGCCGCTAAAGCTGATAGCTTTGTAAAGGAATCTTTAAACAGGTATACAATGACAATTTAGCTGCATTATATCAACTAGTGTAATATGTCCCACTGTTGGATCTATAGGGATCTCTGCATAGAACTGGTTTGGATGGTTCTTGAAATAACATAATTTCATTTAAAAAAAAAAACAAATACCGAAATTTTGCTACCTCTTTACTCTTATAGCTGCAAGTACCTACTGCAAATGAATTTAGCCAAGCCATATTAAGTTTTTTACATTGTGAGATATAAAAATAAAATTTATATTTCTCCATAAAAAAAGCTTTTCTGTCGACTTTTTTTCTTAAAATGAGATTACATTTTAAACAATTTTTTTCTCTGAAACAGACAAATTCTCAAGAACAAATTGACAAAAAAAGAAATGTTCTAAAAGTCCTCAATTACCAGTAAGACATGAATATACTTACGTCAAGATATTATATATTTATAATAAATATATTTTTAATAGCCTTAGATCCCACTGCTAGTCAAAGATCTTCTCCAGTTTAATAAGTTACAAAAAAAAATAATAATATCATGTTTATTTTCATTATAGGATCAAAATGTCAACAGCACTGGAAGATGGGGTGAATGTGGATCTAGTTGTGGAGGCCATTGTTGAAAAGTTGGACGCTAAGCAGGAGCTGTTTAACAAGCTTGATCAAGTGAGGAAATAACATAATTTGCATGTTGGTTTTAAAGAAATATTATTTATTTAAATTCCTTTATTTGTCACACACAAAAAAAACATAAAACGTACAGATGCAAAGTTTCCGGAATGAAGAAGAAAAAAATACTATAAATGGTCAGAAATGAATTTATTGTTTCTCAAAATATTCTCCGTTAGCATTAATGCATTTTTTCATATGAATGAATCAATTTTAAAAAAATGTATGCCACTCCTCCATGATAATCTCTGTAACATATTTTTCATACTTTTCAACACCCTCTCCAGGTGATGAAAATCGTTGACCGCGTAACTGGTTCTTAATTTTTGGAAATAAATAAAAGTCACAAGGTGCCAGGTCCGGACTGTATGCGGGATGGCTCATAAGGTCAACATTGTTCACCCTCAAAAATTCATTTGTCTGTCTGGCATTCATGGTGCAAGATGATACAGCGTTTATTATAACGTAACTATAAATCCATATTTCGTCACCTGTTACTATGTTCCACATTAAATTTGATGCCCCTTTGTTGAATCTGGTAAACATGGCATTGCAACAAGTGACACAATCCGTTTTTTGAGTCACAGTCAAATTGTGTGGGATCCACCTAGAGCACAGCTTTTTTAGACCGAAATGTTTGTGTAGTATTGATTGTATTTCACTCATGCCTATGCCTAAAGATGCCCGAAACTCATGGTATGTCACATGCCTGTCTGTTTTGATCATACGGCGCGCAGCATCGATAGGCGTTGACCATTGGGCCTGCTTCCGCGCCAGCCTAGGATAGGTAACGGCATTCTGTGTAATATATATGTAAAGATATAACGTATTAAACCATATTTGGTTTTCATTTTAGTTGTGTCCAGAACACACTATCTTGGCGACCAACACCTCTTCCATGTCTGTCAATGAAATAGGGTCCCGCATCAAGAGGAAAGACCGGTTAGTGCTTATCTTTGTTACTTTGTTGTAATTTAACTGCCAAATGATTACCATGCCGAACTGCCACGCAGAGGTCCCAGGTTCGATTCCCGGGTGGGGAGAAATATTTGTATGGCCTACATTTATTTCTCTCGTGAGTTTGGGTGTAATTTGTGGTTGTCTATGTGTGTGTCCATGGCACCCGCGATACAAGGTTTTCTTAGTGCGGGGCTGTATTAAGTGTGTGCGTTATTATTATTAATTAATTTCATACCTCCATATAACATTGCGTTAGAATACTTTGTGCCAAAAGTTAAAAGGTTTCGGAACAAATGGAAGGAAATTCAAAAAGGGAAGGAAACTATTCAGGATAGCTAAGATTGGAAAGATATTTCAATTTAAAATAAATGCATAAATCACACGAAATTCCTCGTAGCAGTGGGAAATAACCCTTAAATAAATATAAAAATAAACCCTTATGAAAGAATTCGTCCAAGGCAGTACTGCCACCTTACCTATTTCTGCCGCCAAGCAATAATGTGAGCATTACTGCGTTCCGGTTTTGAAGAGTGCTGGAGAAATTACTAGCAAACGGGACTTGTCAACTTACTACTCTGGAAGTCGGGCGCAGCGGCAGCGCAGTGCCCATCAGATATTAGCGTTTTATAGCTCTGAATGGCACTGCACTTGCTATGGACAGGCGTATCGTATACCACCAAGCGCACGACTTGTTCGCCCCGTCCATGGATATCATAAAAAAGCAAAAGTATAATGCTAAGTTTTAAGAAGTCAGGACTAGGAAATAAGATTAATTGCCCTTTCGTTGTACAACTTTTGTTTACAATGCTTAAAACACGCTTTCAGATACGGCGGCCTCCATTTCTTCAATCCCGTTCCCGTGATGCGTCTCCTAGAAGTGGTAAAAGGAGAACAAATCTCCGAAGAGACATACCAAACCCTGATGACTTGGGGCAAGTCCGTAGGCAAGACTTGCATCACTTGCAAAGACACTCCTGGATTCATTGTTAACAGGCTACTGGGGCCGTACAGTGCTGAGGCAATGAGAATGTATGAGAGAGGTGAGTTGATGGGTCAATATAGTGATAGTTTAGTGTTTGTCTTCCATTTCGACAGTAATTTTTACTATAGGAGTATTTTACGTCTAATTTATTTACAATGTGTTCAGCCATTTGTTATATTTTTGGCTAAGTGGTAAAAATAATCATAATTTTCGCTTGGAAACTTTATATTTTAAGTTTATGTTTGCTTTATTTATTATCACACCAATCGATCGACTGTCGATTTATCAATTTAATACAGGACAATACGAATCGCGGGAAGGGGGCGACTGGCGGAGCGCTAGGTGGCGGCGCCGGCTGTGTAGGAAATCGCCACGCGAGAGTTATGCCGTCATCGATCAATCACCGATCGTTCCATCATTCAATGACAGATCGAGCAGACCTCATTCAACTATCGATCTGTAATGTGGTAACAACTGTCGCTCCATGTTGACTCACCTTATTCAAACAAACAATTGGCGGGGTGTCGCCAATTGTTTCACTTCCAATCGACCAGTTTAACTTGAGCTTTGCTATAATGGGCGAAAATTTATTTGAGAAAATTTGAAGTTTTGCAGCTTTTTCCCACACCACCGAATGGAACATCCGCCCATTTTTAGAGATATCTTTATTACGATAAATACAGAATATTTTTGGAATATAGGGAGACGTACGCCCGCCGTAGGTCAGTTGTTGGCGCTGTAGTATTTCAGCTTTTTAATTTGTGATTTCAACGCAAACGCGAGTTGATATTTAAATGTGATACAAGGCCCATTTGCCCGATGAGTTGCCAGGGATGGATCGCCCTTATTTCGACTTCGATCGATTATTGATCGATTGGTGTATCAACAACCTTAAGCTTTATTCTTTTTCTGCAATGCTTTTTCTTTCTATTTGTAAATAAATATATAATACGGTTGGGCGCATGTGGTTGAATTCATAACTTTTTGGTGTAAGTAATTTATTTTATTATAAGTCAGATTTGTTCTTTTGATATTTGTTTTATTGAATATCATAATGTTTTTATTACCATTTATATTCTGAAGTTCGTTATTATTATTTATACAAATATCGAACAAAACAATATCCTATCAATATAAATATACATAATTGTTAAATAATGTATTGTATTTCAGGAGACGCCTCTAAAGAAGACATAGACATTGGCATGAAGCTTGGCGCTGGCTTCCCCATGGGTCCGTTCGAACTGGCTGATTATACCGGCTTGGATACCAACAAATACGCCCTCCATGTCATGTTTAAGAAAACTGGGGACCCAGTGTTCAGGCCTATTCCTCTTGTGGACAAAATGGTGACCGAAGGAAAGCTGGGAATTAAGTCTGGTGAAGGATTTTACAAGTACAACAAGTCGAAAGTCTGATTTTGTCGTTTGTAACATTTTAAAATAAAGATTGCATTTATTTTTTGTAAGTAATTTGAATTGTTTCATTCTGTGTATTATTTTCTTAGATGAGAGATTTGGCAGTTTTAAAGATGTCCGAAAGGGTTACCAGTGCGATCTAAATTTATTCTAATTGTGAAATCGATTAAATTCTAATATAAAGTAGTATTCGTTTTCAATCTATTCTTTAATTTGTAATAATTATTAAATTTATTGTATTATGGCTACTTTCCGCGTTTCCGCTCGCATAATTATAGAAATAAACGAATCATTTTTAATAGAGATGCACTATTTATAAATTGGTCGCCCCAATCGTTTTTCAGTCTTATTCCAAAGAAATTCCGAAAATTAAATTTTCCATCGAAAAACGTGTGCCTTATTCCAGCGTGACAAATGGCGGGTTTTAATAGATACATTTTTTACACGAACTAGTTTTTGTATTAGTTTTTTATTTTTTTAATGTATATTACGTTTTTTAGTTTATGTATATTACGTTGGGCGTTTCTTGATTATTTGTTACCATTAAGCTGATGGCTCTGAAGCCAACTCTTTATAAATAAATAATAATAAAAAATTCTAGCGTGACCATATGGTTGAGCTTTTGAAATTTGACTTGCCAGAAAAAAGTCGCTATTTAGTCTGTTCTAGTCGCAAAAAACTAGATTTAGTCAGTCCGCCGTTTAAAAGTCATACGAGTGTTTTATTGTCCACGCTGGATTATGTTTATTCCAGCGGCACCATTTCTCGATCTCGAAAACCACAACACCTAGCTTAGATCTGATTCCACCCAGAAAAAGTCGTGAATTAGTCGGTTCTATGCACGAAATTTTAGAATTAGTCGCCCCTTTGTTTAAAAGATACAACCGATTTATTATTTCAAGGTTATACCTGTGTTAGTACCGGAGATCATGTACAAATTTTGCGTACTATTCAGAATTTGTTATATATTTATTTGAAATACATGCTATTTGAAGGTTTTAATAACGTTTAGTTTTTAATACAAGGAAATAATAAATTTATTTGCCATAATAATAATACAACATGCATAGTGTTCAGTAAGTAAGTATCAAAGATACGTACGTTTTATAATTAGTAGTACTTTTTACCTGAAATACAGGAATTTCCTAGTTCAGGTACATGTGTTATTTTTACATTAAATCGCATAAGTAGTCTTTAGTTTTCTCTGTCCATTATGTTACTGAATAAACAATTTTTTTTTTTTTTAAAGAATCAGTAGATATGACCGCTGGTACTTAAAACAGGAAAACCTGAAATGAATGAATGAAACCTGAGGAAATTAGCAAAAAATATAGTTCTTTTTCCTTAAAGGTATTAGAGTTTATCGATTGTCATGATATTTATTAGTGTATGTACTTGACTATTTGCTGTTCCATCAATGTGACCATCAATATGCGGGGCGCGGTGCGGTTTCTAAAGCTAGGGAGAGGGGGAGAGTGACCATTCTGGTTACTTTTTTATTCTCAGCTTTGGTAAAAGGTGGGTTATCTACTGCATTCTTTTACATGGCATCATTAGAATTACTTTAAACTTTCGACTTCCTAGGTCAGTAGTTTTGTCGTACGACGCAGTAAAACCAGTTCCGGAATACCTAATTCGAAAAAGTAATTAATTAAAATTTAGTGGTTTTAACAACTCTATGTCGCTCCTTGGAGCTATATCTATACATGTATGTGGAACACCTTTTTCCGACCGTTGGTAATAACTGATAAATGTAATTAAACGCAATAAGACACCCGCGCTATAATGGTCACCGCATCATTTTCGTTCGTGTTCGCTGAATGCCTATTCACTTTTTCCATTGAATCCATTGACTTACAATTATATGGACGTCGGGTCCGCGCTAAAAAGTGTCCGAACTTATAGGGCGTTAAAATCGTATACAGAGCGTCATTCACGCTTTAGTCTTCGTTTGTTCGACTGACAGCGAAGCAAGCAAAATTAGACAGTACTGCGATGACATTACAATTTAAATTCAACGTTTTAGCTTTTTCATATTCCTTTACATGTCACTACGTTTAAATAGGTTGACTTGGGACATTTTTTTCGTGGTTTTTGTATTAGACCCGTCGTCCATTGATTTGTAAGTCAATGATTGAATCGAATAGTTTTACTCATCCATGTGGTTTTTGTGATACGTGATGTATACACATCACGTACGTTGCTCAGACACCACAATACATTTCCTTATAAATTTATTTATTTTTTACATACATAAACTAGCGTAACATATGTGACTAAAGCACTTGTGTTATGGAAATCAACAACGACGGTACCGCAAACAAAGTCAAATGATTTGTTCACCAAGATAACACAGTACATTGCCTATAGGTAAGTCAAATGACAGAAAATACAGACTTAAATTGTAAGGGTACCTATACGTACTAGTGAAGTCTTAACATCATGATTTTTTAAGAAAATAAATATTCACTTAGATTTGAATCCATAAATTCGTTTGTTTGTTTCGATTCGCAGATTTTCAAAGTAAAGTTTTAATGTTTGCTTGAATGTAGCAAAAGTTTTAATGTTTGCTTGAATGAACGACTTGGAAATGTGCCATTTCCAAGTCGGATACGCGAACTGGTAGTTTAGTGTACATATTAATTTTCATATTTACGCTCTGTTTTAACGTTTTTACTAATCTGGTTTTATTTGTTACTAGTTTATACTTCTCCTGTTATATTTATGTATATTTATCAAATTACTCTCTAGCAGATCATGTTTGTGAATATTTGCGATAATTCGTATTGCTCGCTTTTGCAAGACCAACACACCCTCGCAGTATCAGAACTCACCCAGACCCGAGACAATATAGAAAACTTTTTCCACATTGACCCGGCCGGGGATCGAACCCGGGACCTGACAGATGACAACACCATGAAAACCGGTGTGCAAGCCACTCAACACAGAGATCATCAAAAAATTAAACACATGATACTGTCCCACATTCCGATGAATTGTATCCATAGTTTTAAATTTACATTTTATAATATTCAGAAATGGTTTATTACGAGAATTTAGTGTAAATAAATATCTAATCCCTGGTTTCTTGGTAATTTAAACTATAATATAAAAAGATTAAGGGATTTCATAACTTTTCAATTAAAAAAAGAAAAGGAAATACAAACCTGGTTTTGAGTAGGGGCTCTTTTAAATTTGATAAATTATAAATTTATTTGCAATAGGTGTGGTCAGAGATGTAATTATATTATAATTAATAACATAATTATTTAAAACACACCTATTTTTATAAATTTTTTATTTAATATTTAATAAGTATTTTTTTTTTCCGACAAATCTAAGTGACTTGATGAAATTCGGCAATTAATTGCTTAGGACTTAACAATAGCTCGAGGACGTAACTGTTTTCAGGACGTTTCAGAGTAACTCAAAATTACATTTTATTTTGGAATTCGTGTAAAAATAGTACTTCAAATATGTTTTGTCACATTATAAATCTTTCAATAAAATTTATACATTTATACCTTATACTTTATACCTGTGAAACAGGGTTTCCCCAGTGCGGGGCTATGTTGAGTGTGTGCGTTATTATTATTATTTATTTATGTATTTTTTTAAAACACAATTATGCGAATAATTGTTTGTTTATTGTTTCGTTGATCGCATTCAAAGTTACATATTATCGCCTTCGTTAGCTGTTAAATTTGGCCTCGTAATTGGTGACGACTATAGTAAAACTTATTGTAATTCTGGCTGTAGTGGAGAAGGACGTTGTGAATTTCGCTCTTTTAACTAGACTCGCTTAATGTCTTGGCTTTGTGGGACGGCTCGTCAATAGGCCCCGTGTAAATGGGCCATAAAGGTCTTTTTAGGTACAGTTTCGGTGTTTCGTAAGATAATACGTGCTCTATTTAAATTCATTATTTTGTCCTGTCATAAAATTACATAATACACCCAGAGGCGTAGCCCGGGCCAAAAAATATGCTGCCCCCTCTACTTTCACGATTGCAAAAGAACTTAGTTCGTTCAGGCAGGCTAGCAGCTCGATTGTGTTTTTGTTTGCCTGTCGTGTCGTCGCCACCTTTGTGTTGTTCAGGATATCGTTTTCTCAAATTTGTAGTTTGTTTTTAATTTTAAGTAATTTTACCTAGTAAGGACTCGGTCGCACTCGCCGCCACCCCCATTGCTGTGCCGCCTGAGACCAGGACCCCCTCTGTACCCCCACGCTACGCCACTAAATATATAGTCCTTCTATCTAAGTTCTATATTTCAGGCGATGCATCAGCTAAAGACATCGACATTGCAATGAAGTTAGGCGCCGGTTTCCCCATGGGTCCACTCGAGCTCGCTGACTACACTGGACTCGATACCAAGAAGGCATTACTCTCTGTCATGTTGCAGAAAACTGGACACCCAGTATTTCAGCCTATAGGGTTGCTTAACCGACTGGTTGCAGAGGGAAAATATGGCAGGAAAAGTGGGGAAGGGATTTATAAATACGAAAAATCGAAGGTGTAAATACAACAGAACAAGACAGTCGTTACTTTCTTATCAATACGTTTAAATCTCTATTAAAGTGGTTTTCCACCGGCGAGACGAGACGAGATGAGCATTGAAGTTTGTGTGACAAAATTTAAATTCCCTCTGGTCCATCTTCGGTAGAAATGGTCTGGATTGATGAGGTTGGGCGAGGCGAAAATTGCAATATTTGTTGTTGTATTATTGAACAGTATTGCTACCTTCATAGAGTATTATACTCTGCAACGGAAACAGGATTTCTCACGCACGAGTGCGATGGCTATTAATATCAATAGCGAGATTAGGACCCCACAATCTCGCGATTGATTTGAGATTTAAAAAATATGGTTTTATCGGATTCTTCTTCCATTATCATATGTAATAATAATTTACGTGACATGTTTCATCAGCTGCGTATTTATCGCTAGATGAACTGAACAGCACTGAATCTTCACCATCCACAATCACAACCTGAGATCGTGTTCACGATAGCTCGCGCGAGCTATTAATGGCAATTTTTGGTGGAAATAGGCCGGCGAGATTTCAATCCTCGTCTCTCCTCGTTTCGTCTCGCCGGTGGATACCACCTTTATATAACAAAATGCCCTAACACAATCGACTCCTCAAATTCGGAACGTAATTATGTTTAGGATTTTTCCTTGAACTGTCCATGTGGCTTGTTTTGAGACGTTGTCGGGTCACGGATGTTCGCTTTGAAACTGTGATCCACCTGAGGGCTCACGGGCAAGTCCAAGTCCAATCTTGTCTGTGACTGACTGATGGTGTGATGAATGACTGTGTTAATAAACAGCTCCTAAGCCCGGTACTCAGTCCGTATCAGCTATATTAATAAACAGCCCCTAATGGTGTATTTCCATCGGCGAGGCGAGACGAGACGAGACGATTTTTAAAACTTGTATGGCAAAATATCAATTCTCTCCTAGCGCACCTCCTTCGTTCCCACTAGTTCTATTGAGTAGTTCTATTACTACTGGGACTTTTTTCCATTAGTTCTATTAAGTTCTATTGTAATAAATAATAGAACTAGTGGGAAAAATAATTTCACAGTAGTTATATTGCCTTAGTTCTATTTTTATCCCGAAAATGATTTTATCATTAATGTACGGTTGAAGAATATTTATAACTTATACATATAACATTTAACGTAAATTTGACAAATGAATATAAAAAGAATTAAAAAAATTATCGAACATTGTGAACTTGCCAATTTAAATTTAAAAGATAATAAAAAATTGTAAACTTGACAAAGTAAAATTGAAAATTATGGAAAAAAAAACCAAACATTGTAGACTTGACAAAGTAAAATTTAAAATTATTAAAAAATATAATCAAAATTTGTAAACTTGACAAATTAAAATAAAAAAAATAATCAACAGTTGTAAACTTTACAAATTGAAATTAAAAAATTATCAAAAATTGTAAACTTGACTTTTTATTTTAATTTGTCAAGTTTAGAAATTTTCATAAGTTTTTAAAATAATTTTTAATTTTATTTTGTCAAATTTACAATTTTGATGATTTTTTATCATTTTTTAATTTTTATTTGTCAAATTTCCAGTATTTGATAATTTTTTAATGTTTATTTGTCAAGTTTACAATGTTTGATTATTTTTAATATTTTTTATTTTATTTTGTTAAGTTTATTATTTTTATTTATAAACACTTTATTGTACCACAAAGTAACTTACAAATTTTCAGAAAACAATTTAAATATTTGTGTTTACAATTTTTGATAATTTTGACAATATTTTAATTTCAATTTGTGAAGTTTACAATTGTTGATTTTTTGTTATTCAGTTTTTAGGTTTTCGCAATAGTTACACATAGGAAATGAAACTATTTTTCCGGATTTAAATCGCGTATATTTGTTTTTTCATTCATATCTGTGCGGTACTCAGTGCCTATCGGCTGAGAAATCATTCTGGTCTCGAGATGCATCTCAAGTTCTACTTTACTAACAGTCTATTTAATCATCGTCGTCTAGAGCGATACCATCTTAAGTGGCCAAGACCGTGCACTTGATTGACAAGAACTTACTACTAATCTTGAACCGTAGTGTTGAAGAGATGTCTACACCTATAAATGCCTACTTTCCAATGATGCGTAATCAATGACTAATCGTTTATGTACACTCAAGTAATATTTTAGTAATACGTAGTATATTTCCTGTTGTTTATTAATTTCTTAAGGGCAAATACTTACGTATAGTATTTTTATTTATTTATGAATAAGTAGACTTATCAATCGAAACTAACCACAAACCTTTTTATTAATCTGTCATTGCCTTTACTAAGCACTTCATGTAGTTTGCTATTAGTGGAAATTCGTTAATGGCATTTGATTACTCAATAAGTTAACTAACTGTAATTATTGGGTTGGATTTTCCTAAAATGTAAGAAACACCACACAAAACTACAACATGGTTACGAATCTATTTGTGTATTTTTAATATTGAATGAAAATAAATGTCAAGTAAATATATACTTTGTTTATAATTTATATTTTAATGCAGCCATTTGCAATACTACACGAAACGTACATTGATTCTGGTATCTCTGTTGACGGTGTTAAAGTCAGGCTCAACAGACGCGGTACACTGGTAAAAGCTGTCCAAGACGAACCTGTGCTAGGCTCGAGTCATTAAGTTTAAATTAAATTTTACCATCAACATTTGTAATATACCTTATTCAAAACGAATAAAGATAATTATCAAGAAAAAATTCTGCTTTTGGCAGCGTTACGGACGGAACACAAAAGAAGTATCTATCGAATTCATATTGAAACCTAATAAAAATACACTCAAGAGTTGTAAAATTATACAACGTGTAATTCTGCATATTATACAATTTCTGCGTACTTGGATGATAAAAATTCTTGGTAGTGACCCATTTAGTTCTTTCAGTTATTCTCGAATTCTAAGATGTTTAAATTAAATATTGTAATATAAATGTATTTAAATGTATGTTTATAAAGAGCAATCCCTAGAGTTTCTTGTTCGTTCTTCTGAGGGGCATCTGCCTTATGAATGAGCAGTAGAGTTTAATCAGTATGACGATTTCAAGTGTAATTTGCTTATCTATGAAATAAAGATTATTTGTAACTCAAAGGAATACACATAATAATAATAATATACAACTCCCGCTTCCGCACCCGCTCCGGGGGGTCTACTCTACTCCCGTCCGAAACAATTGCTGTCAAATAAGTAATATTCCACCAAATCAAGATACAATTCCAAGTATGAACCTTCGTTCGCATCATGCGTTTTTTAATTTGGTCGAATATTACTTATTTGACAGTTATTTTTTCGGATGGATGTCATATGTAGAACGGGAGTAGACCCCCTGCATGTTTGCAGTTAATTCATGAAGTCGTATCAACTTCATGCGGTCGAGGTCTCGGATAACGACTTCACGCATGCAGTCGGTCTCGGCTGCATGAAGTCGGTTTCCATTGCATGCAGTTAATGCGTCAAGTCGTTGTCAACTTTATGCGGTCGAGGTCTCGGCTGCATGAAGTTGATTATGACTTCACGCATTAACTGCAAACATGCCGCCAATCTGTTAGCAGCCTAACCAAAACAACATTGAAAATGTTTTCAGCTAATCATGTAGGCCCTTATACAAAATAGAAATTAATCTCACCCGATATTGTCGTAATAAACAAAACTATTAAAATACCGAATAAATAAAATATATATCTACAGATAAACATGTCAATCTCAATTTAAGATTAGATAGAATATTTGGAAAAAGGGTATATCATAACTACCAGTGTTGTTTTACAATCGCACCTTTAAAATTCGTTAGTGAATTTTAGAACTTTTTTAAATTAAATTTGTGGTTTTTAAGTAAGTACTTATATTGATAATTAATAGGTTTCCATTAGTGATAATTACCCATTGATAATTATTGTTAACGTTTGATTGTACTATGTTTAGTTTGGATTCTGATTTCGTTGGATATTTACGTTTATCTTTGTCTTATATTGTTTTGAATAACTACTTTTGTTTTTAACTATTCTGTAGCTGCTCGAAGTTAGAATAATTGATCCTTATTTGTCCCGTCATATGTATTTGTTTAAAGATATCTTTTTCTGGACTATTGTCATGTAAGTATTTATTTCATTTATAAATTATACGAAATCATTTCACGTTAAATTTAATAAAACGTTATAGAAACCTAAGTGGTTTTTGGATTTGGTGAGGAATTCTTTTTCTTAACGTATCGATGCATATAATAATGATTGTTACTTTGGTGAAAGAATTTACAACCGGCAGCGTAAGGTAGTCTCCGATGGGTCTTACAGGAAATGCCTGGTAGGTACGTTATGTGGGGAGGCTCCATTCGTGCACCCCCTTGGTGAGAGATTGGGCGCGTTGTAGATGTGAATATATCAAGGGTTTGGTGGTGGATCCTGGGTTCCTGACAGTTCGCAATCAGAAAGTTAACGTTTTTAACATGAATTAGAAAAAAGCGACCTCAAAACTTTGTGGAATTATATCTATTTGTCAAATATTGAAATCGGTTACCGGAAAGTGCGCGAAACCGGATTCATTCCCTAGTTTGCCACTCTTAAAGGTGGAATATTTTCTTGAAATTAAAATGGGTCCATTACAGAGGTACCCTCTTTCCAATAAAGAGAAGCAGTCGAATTGAGAACCTCCATTTTTTTGAAGTCGTTTAAAAACTAAATTGTAACATCGATTTATTACAACTTAAGTTTTTTTTTATTTAAAGAGCTTTGTCACAAAATGCGCAACGTCTCTCTATACAAATAATCATTTAGTAAAGTAGGTACCTACTTAGCGAGAGAATTGAAGCTGGTTATAATTGCCTTAACTGCAACCAATTTCAAAGACGCCGTTGCATCCGCTAACTTGTCTAAATTTGGTCACACATAGTAACTACATCAAAAAGAGAATCGTTTCGTCCACATTCCATCAGTATAGGTACGACGAACGTTCTTTACATTCACGTCACAAACAGCGCAACTTGGTGACTCTCTTTTTCTTCATCATGCAATGCGTGCGAAGCGAAGGCGTAAATAACAACTAACTCAATTAGTTGCTATACTAACTTAAATTCTCTTAAAGCAATTTATTGATCCAAGGAGAAGTCAATGGTTCAGGTTGTATAATCTTATACCAAATGCCTACTAATTATAGTAAGCGAAAAATAAATAAAAAATAAGGCGGTCTGTGTTTTTAACATTTCACAAAAACATTGGTTTCACCATTAAAAATTTCGCTATAATGTAGAATTAGAATCATGAGTTTTGTCACTGTTTATTCTCTAAATATTAGAAGTAACTGTTAAAGACTGCCCTCCTTATCTATAACTAACGTAACCAAAATTTTTAGCAAAATTTAGTTATTATACACACACATACACATGGGATCAGCAAGACGAGAACTGCAATCCTCTTTAATCGATTTTTTAATACCTTATTTAGTTTCAGTTTTATTGTGAAATAAAATAACCGTAATTTACATTTTTTACAAACAAAAAAAAAAACCTTTTGGAGCCAACGTCTCGAAGTCAACGAAATTCAGGAATACCTACTTTGCCCACAAAAAAAATAAAATTCAAATTTAAACATTACCTATCTACCCACTAAAAAAAATATAAGGAAGTACCTACTGATCGGTAGATATTTTTGTTGTTCTGTTTATTTGTTTACAATATTGTTATCTTGTGAATTAAGCTTTTTTTATTCGTATTTTAGAAATAACATTTATTATTGTGGAATTAACGGTATACAAAGCAAATGTATAGAAGGACCTTTAAGGTAGTGTTTGTGATTTAATACGTGGAAATTTTAGATTAGTTAAGTGCTTCTTCTTTGTTCTCCCGACCCGGTAAAAAAACTACCAATATTATTATATTAGATTTCACTTTAGAAAGTAAAAAAACTTGCAAATCTGGAACCTAAAGATATTTGTCGGAGTGGTACTAATAGAGCACTAAAACACAGTGAACAAAGACAAAAGTGCATGGCTAAATAATTAGATATCTACTAATTATTTAACGACGCACTGTTGACTTTGTTTTGATGCAATATGTATCTAAGTCCAAAGTTTTGGGACCCGTAGAATTTGAGAGTACACTCAGAAAAAAAATGTACAAAACAAAGTGCAAATCATTTTGTGGTTCCATGACAATAAAACTTTGTTATGCGAACTAAATTAGCTTTCTTTACTCTCAGCTAACAAAGTTTTTTCTCAGTGTATCATTTCCCAGACTTTCGCTCTGCCGTCTGCTCACTAAAGAGCCAACTTGCGATTTTAAATTTTTATTGAATTGATATTCAATAATTTTTTGTGAAGTTACTCCACTAGTTTGTTATAATTATTAATGCAAAGATCGAACACTCAGAAAAAATTCCTTCGATCCGGCCGGATTTGAACCGCTTCTGCACGGTAAACTAGAAGACGTCGGCTCGAATGCGGCCGGATCGAAGGAATTTATTCTGAGTGTTCGATCTTCGTAATAATAATTATAAAATTTGAGATATCATAAAAACCCATATTTAATGATATTTCGCCAATGCGTCGTTGACGTAAGTTCCGCTAAGTCGAACGCGTTAACTAATTTTGAAAAAGAATTCTGTGCTCTATCTTTAAAACGGATATTTGACCATTTATCACTTAGCCGCGTATTAGTTAGTGGATTAATGAAGGCCGTTGCTTTGGAGTTCTCAAAACGTTCTGTAATGACTGTGGACATGTGGTGACTTGTTAGGTCTGCGGAATAGTTTAATTCTATTCGCTGCAAAATATGCAACTTGTTGCTATTCAAAAGGACATTTTATGTAGTAGGCAGATCTAGTTATAAGAATGAGTCGTTGCTACAATGAAATCCGTGATGTATACGATTGTAACTTACAGTAGGAGTAGCGTCTTGTGACCTTACGTATTTCTGCCGCCAAGAAGTAATGTAAGCATTGCTGCGTTCCGGTTTTGAAGGGTAAGGGTGCTGGTGAAATTACAGGCACATGTCAACTTATGTCGCAGGGTGACGGGCGCAGTGGCAGTGCCCTTAGGTCTTTACGATTTAAAGCTTCGAGTAGTTCTGTAATTGCTATGGACAGGCGTGTCGCTTGCCACCAGGAGCACGCCTTGTTCGTCCCATCGCGTAACAAAAAAAAACAAAAATATATCAAAATTATTCACTCTCAATGTAGTTAACGTAATAGGAAGTAGAAGCACTATAAAAAAAGTGTTCATATTAGTTTTTTTATCAGTATAATTTATCTTTAATGCTAAATCCTTTTTAGACTTTCTTATATATTTCCTCTCTGTCTATTTTTTTTATGGAATGATATAATTGTACCCAATTGATTGTCAGTTTTATATCGATATTTAAGAATATATTTGAGAATGTTTTTAATATAAAATAAAATAAAATTAGTTGTGAAGCAAGCAGTCATACGTGACCGCGGGACCTGTCCGTCCGACACCCGTCTGAAACAATTAACTGTTAAATAAATAATAATCTACCAAAGTAAGAAGACTTCGCAAGTGTAATGCGGTAGTCTGGGCTCCACATCAAACGCGGTACAGTCTTGTACTAGAGCGCATTTAAAACAAATTCCTGAGATATCTGTACTTGAGGCAATATGGGGTTACCCTTTCGACGCCCTGATGTAGTATCCTAGTCTGTACATTTTGAGTGTGGTGGGATACAAGGAGCTACACGTGCGCAGGAACTTAGCGTTAGCAGTGTACGTGTTGAAGGTAGGTAATCATAGGTATGCTATGCAATCCGATGCTGCTAGGGGTAATAGGCTTATGTGTTCCTGATAGGTACGTGTGTGGTGGCCCAATTTCATGACGGATTATCCGCTACCGCGCACATTACACACCCTGAACGAAATATCGAATAAGATCGATTTGTTTCGTTGTTCTCTGAGTGAATTCACAAAGATAGCGCTTTATATCTTATGTTACATGTAGTAATTTAGCTGGTCTATTGCATTATTTGGCAGTAGTTGTTTTGGACGGATGTCGGGCTTAAAACGAGGGTAGACCATGGGGTCTATATATGTATATAGGGTATACAGTGTATTTGGATCCCGAATATACCCGATGTAGAACCGGAAAAATAGTTTCATGTCCAATATTGTAATTTATAATCCTTACTGTGATGTAGTTTTATCTACATACTTAATCCATAATCGCGTCGTGACGTATTGGGACTATATAGGTAAATAATAATTTATGTATGTACGCAGACAAAGGAAAATCTTCACCATTATATCATCCAAACACGACTTGTATAAATTACGATTCAATATAAACAATAATTGTATTAGTTATTGGTGACCATTTCTATGACGTTCAACTCGTGGGCAGTTTGAGGAAGTGGTCTTTTGTGAAAAATAAGCATTATTAATGTTCAAAGTTAGTCTTTATTTCATAGGTAAGTAAATTACACTTGAAATCGTATTTTGATTGAACTGTACTGCTCATTCGAAAGCTGATTTTTGAAAGATAGACTAGAAATTCGGCAGATTCCCCGAGAAGAATACGCAAGAAACTCTAGGAGTTGCTCATTGTCAATAAACACGTACACATCAAATTTAATATCATAACTTGAAAGTACGTATTTAGAGCTTTTTCATGATGCCGATTGATGGGACGATCAAGTCGTGCGCCGGGTGGAAAGCGGCATGCCTCTTTATAGCAGTTGCAGCCCCACTTAGAACTTTGTACTGTCACTATTTCTATTATTTCTTATGTGGATAAGATATGGAGTTACAGCAACAGAAAATTTTAATTTCATTTCTTTAAACGTTATTTTCTCCGTTTTGAGTTTTTGTTTCTACTAACGGCGCGGCAATATTGTTACAGTTAGTTTTGATCACCAGCTAAAATTGAGATCGAAACTGCAACACTTAGATCTTCGACAGGAACCCATTTAAAAATATGCCTAGATACTTATCAAACATTTTTGGTATCACGTCCGAGGTTCATACACGTGAATGACAAACTACTTCTGACGTTAACATAACTTTTTAGGAGACCCATGCTCTACAATGTGACGAAGAGGTTGCCGACGTGTCTTGTTTGTGAGTGTGTCAATTTACTTTTTTTTTCCAGGCGTCCACCTAAATGAGTGATGTCCAACAACCAGCACCACAAAAGAAATGCAAGCCCGCGCGGCGTCAGTGTTCGATCTACCAGGTTCATTACGGCCTGCAGAAGCAGGTAGAGGAGACGGCCAAGCCTCTACCGAGACCAATGGATTCGCTGGACATTCAGCAGTATGGCCTGCAAGTTGCGGGACATATGAAGACTGAGAATCAAAAATATCAGGGTAAGCGATTATCCCTACTTTTTCTGCGATGTTTCAGTTATTGGAAGACGCCTTACAGATGTTCGCGGCTGTCGTTGTCGGATAGTAATCAAGAAGAATTTCAGCTTTTATAAGAAAATAATAGAAAAAGATTTATTCACGGTTTACAAGTCATCAATAAACACATGAAAATTTAGAAAGAAATAATAATAATTACAAATAATAATAATAACGCGCACACTCAACATAGCCCCGCACTAGGAAACCCTGTGTTGCGGGTGCCAGGGACACACACATTGATAACCACAAATTACACCCAAACTCACGTGTGAAATAAATGTAGGCTATACAAATATTTATCCCGACCCGGGAATCGAACATGGGATCTCTGCGTGGCAGTGCGGCATGGTAACCGTTCGGCCACAGAGGCAGTTAAAAAATGGTTAATTAAGAGTTAAACGTACGTAGGAAATAAATTAACATTAAAACGAAATATAAACGGTAAAAAAGAAAGAAAATTAATACAAAAAACAATGTGTTGCTACCATGAAAAGGCGTAATGCCAGTCTGCGAGACTGACGCCGATCTTCCGCTGCTATAATGCTTAGGCCACACAGAGGCGGCCGCGTTCCAGGCGCGGGAATTTGTAATGTACGAGTGTGTATGAACCCTGCCACACAGAAACGCGCGGCGGCCGCCTCTGTGTGGCCAGAGCATAAGCGTTACGCAAAAAAAATAATTGCACGATATCAATGCGAAAAGTTTTTCTGTCGAACTCATCCTCAAACTTGTTATAAGTCTTGTCGGTGGAGCATCTTCCAGTCATTTCTCTTATAAGCCAGCTCCTTGACCTCCTTATACGACACGACACCGGCCATTTCCTGTCGAACTCATATTGAAATTTAATAAAAAGTCATTCAAGAGTTGTAAAAAAACGCAACGTGCAAGCCCGGTAACGTCCCGCTCCCGGATCGCGCCTCGCCGCGGCCGCTCCGTGTGGACGGGTGCATAGAACTCAACATAATACAACTCCCGCGCTGTGCTGTACACATTTCCATCATCAGGTGAAATAGCATATTTTCCAATGTCACGAAAACCAAAGATATTTATCTTATGTGATTACCTGGATATCTTTAAAGTCAAAGTAGACAGCTTCTATCATATCAAAGTAGCAGCTTCAGCCGTTGGGCATGTGAGCATTACTGCGTTCCGGTTTTGAAGGGTAAGGGCGCTGGTGAAATTACAGCTACATGGGACTTAACAATTTTGTCTCAGGGCGACGGGTGCAGTGGCAGTGCCAATCAGGTCATTGTGATTTAAAGCTCTGAGTAGTATGCACTTACTACCAGGCACTCGACTTGTTAACAAATAAGTCTAATAAAAACAGCAGTGAACGTCTGGCGATTGATTATGAATGACACTCGTAAATTATAAGCTCAATTAAGTATTGAGATATACATTACAAGTGATCTCGCTTCGTTTCACTGCATATTTTATTGAATATGATGTCTTAAACTTTGCAGGGGTCCTACAATGCAACAACGGAACAATCCTCAAACCCATAATCAAAGAGACACAAAAGCGCGAAGTCGACTTCTACGAAACACTGAAATCGTCCAATAATCCGGATCTCGTAGAACTGAGAAGTTTTACAGCGAAATATGATGGCTGTCGGAAGTTTACCTACAATGGCTATGAACAGGACTACATTGTGCTGCAAGACCTGGCGGCGGGGATGTTGGAGCCTTGTATTATGGATGTCAAAATTGGTGAGATAATTTTAATAAGCTTAAAACACAGTCTCATCATTTTGTACTTTAGCCACACTGAGGCGGCCGCGAGTGCATTCCGGGCGATCGGGCAAAACCGAAAATTTTTAAATGGGTGGATTTAATATACGGAAATACAATAAATAACAAAATTATATGACCCATTGATACGTTCATAACATTTTGGATTTTCTTAGATTTTATTAGTTTAAATAGCTACATATCCATTCAATTTATTTGATAGGTAACTTATACACGACGTGGCCACAAAGTGATTAAACATTACAACTCATTCGTATGGCAGATTCCTATGAGCAGAATGAGGAAGAATATCTAGAGATGCTCTTTGTAACATTTCATGTTCATCATTCATATTGTTTATTTTAAAATATCAATCTGAAAGGTGTGTACGGATAATTCCTATGAATTATCTAAGTACGCAGAAGCTAAAATATATTTTCGTTTCGTTACGTATGCATACGCGTCGTTTATCTTCCTTATGATCTTGATTTCCTGTATTTGTGATAGACATTTTAATTTTTAATCAAAACTAATGAATTATCAATCTTCAGTTACACAATAGGGGGGATAACTAGCTTATCGACGTGACTCACACTTTAAAAACAAAATGAATTATAATGATTGATTTCTTAGACTTTGAACAATTTATAAATTACGTTTAAGAATTAGATTCTGTTTCGTTTATGTTGTTGTAGTGTAGTTTTTCTTCTTTGCTGATTTAAAGAGACATGTTTATTGTTCGGTCTCCAGAATATAAGTAAGTAAATAATAGAATATAAAATAAAATGTAAACTGCATGCTAACCAGCAGTACACACCACATGTTGCAGTTAGACTATAAATATAGTCTATCTATACTACACCTTAAACATTAAATGAACCTTTTTTATGATATCAAGTGACGAAAAAAGAACCGTGCGTCTGGTGGTAAGCGACAGACTTACCCATAATAGTTGCAGTGCCATTGAAACTTTAAATTGCAAATACCCGAGGGGCACTGCCACTGCGCCCGTTACGCTTCCGTACCGAGGTATACGGGCCGTACGAGTAGGCTCGCGTCACGGGCCCATACGGGTGGCACTCTCTTTGCGGCGTGACATCACGGGCTGTTGGAAACCCACGTATAATATAAAGTTGACAAGCCTTGTAGTGCCACCAGCACCATTAACTCTTTAAAACCGGAACCCAGTAATGCTCAAATTACTATAGAAATAGGTACCTATTAATAGAACAAAAAAATACTGCGTAACTCGGGCACCTGTCTGAAATTCAGAACCGTTATCATGTGTTTAGATAAAATGGTTACGACCGCGTATAAATTAACTTCAACTCTGCAAACTCCTGAAGTTATTAGTCCTCTTCTATGTGACAGGACGAAAAAAGTAGTGCGCCTGGTGGTAAGCGACACGCCTATCAATGACAGTGCCACTCGGAGCTTTAAATCGCAAAGAGGGACACTGCCACTGCCTGTCACCCTGAGACATAAGTTGACACGTCCCATGTGCCTGTAATTTCATCCGCACCCTTACCCTTCCAAACCGAAACGCAGTAATGCTCACATTCCTGCTTGGCGGCAGAAATACGTAAGATGGCAGCACTTTCCTGGTCGCACTCTTTCACATGGAGCTCTACTGTTACTTTAAAGACACACTTACCTTGATAATTGGTACCACCGCTCTAATATAAATTACATATTCCTAAATGTACTGTGACATCGCATCGGTGTTAGTATGTTAATTGTCCCAATAAAACGCTTTTTTGTTCCAGGCAGAAGGACGTGGGATCCGTTAGCATCACCCGAGAAAATAGTATCTGAGCAAAGCAAGTACGCGCTGTGTAAAGAGCAGTTCGGGTTTTGCATACCCGGGTATCAAGTCCACAAAGTATGTTCCGGACGACTGTACAAGTATGGCAAAGACTGCGGGAAGAAATTACACGGGACTCTGGTCAAAGGTGGTAAGTGCTTATGTCACATTTCATCATCATCAAGCAGCCTCTACTATTCGTCTTCGGATAAAGGCCTCCTCCATATCTCTCCATTTAAATCGCTCTCGTGCCACATACATCCAGTTGCGGGGCGCGAAAATTTTAATGTCATCCACCCAGCGAAGTGGCGGATGACCGCTGCCGCGCGTATTCGCCCATGGTCGCCAATCCATGATCCTCCTTGTCAACCGATCTGGGTCCATCCTAGCTATGTGTCCTGTCCATTTCCATTTCATCGTCTCAATACAAAATACAAGCTCATTCGGTATCCGATCGAGCAATGTTATTCCTAACATTGCTCTTTTCATTGCCCTCTGTGCGATTCGTAAGTTCTCCGCGGACTTCTTCGTCAGAGTCGTTGTTTCCATGTATCGAGTATTAAAACTATTCTGCCATATCATTACTGTGACAACTGCGCTCCGATTGGCTAGCCCGAGCTCGAAAGAATTGACGGGTGTCGTCGATGGGCGTCGTCGATGGGTGTCGTCAACTGTTTCACTTCAATACGACCAGTTAACTTGAGCTTTGCTATAATGGTTGTCCATTATAGCAAAGCTTTTCAAAGCAAATTGCAAAATTACATATAATTTAATATTTAATTACCGATGAAATGTAATTCCGTTTATTTTGTAATTAGATGTTTTGCTGTTTTTCCCACACCACCGAATAGAACAGCACGGCATTGTTAGAGATATTATCTTTATTACAATAAATACAGAACATTTTTTGGAATATACGGAGACGTACACACAGGTCAGTAGTTGGCCTGTCTATATTTCAGTGCAATCTAGAGTTGATATTTATAAGAGCTGTATCGCTAATGTGTTCCCAGGAATATATGGCCCTTATTTCGTCTCTATTTCTGGTTATATACCGATGTTTCCATGCCATAGGTAAATACTGGCAGGACACACTGGTTGAAGACCTTAGTCTTTAGTCTCTGCGGTATGCGTTTGCATCACAATATTTGATGGTTGGCCCCAAAAGCTGACCAAGCTTGTGCTATGCGCCTATTGACCTCCGCCGTTTGGTTTAGTAGGCCCAAAGTAATTTTGTGTTCTAGATGAATGTAGTGATCAACAACATCAACAAACAAATACATAACTTTTCTTCTAAATACACACACAATACACAATAAAAACAGTATAATAGCATTCTATACAATAATTCATAGATTTCAGAGGGAGGTATTATCCACGTTATCTGAAGTTTAGGTAAATATATTATACCCATTTTCATCTTTGATAATGAATGTTCGGTTTTTATTTCGATAATTGTAGCTATAAAACGTGTATAAGTACACTCTGATAAACTAGATTTCCATTGTTTCCAGACTTGAATCGATCTTATGAGACTTGACAAGTGAACAAAGTTTATTTAATTGTTCATGATATTTTTACTAGCGTGATATTATTTTTTTTGTGAAATTGCTCCCCTAGTTTCTTTTTGATAGCCCCGGAAA